CCTGCAATTTCATGAGCAAAGAGTTTGCAGCTGAACACCAGATACAGACAATCTTTAAGCAGCCCCCTGCAGGTGACCACGATCGATGGCAGGGAGCTGTTGGGTGGAGAAGTCAGCTTGCAGACCGTCCCAATGATAATGAAGGTAGCAAGGCACACCGAACTGATAGCTTTTAATGTGGCCACCTTGGGAGGAGCTCCCATTATATTGGGGATGAGCTGGCTAGCGTTACATGATCCGCTGGTGGGCTGGCATCAGAGAGTGGTTTCTTTGGTTCAGCACATTGCTTAGAACACTGCAAAGAGGGAAAGGGTTTGGCAGGGGTCCAAGCCACCCTAGCAGGGACTGAAGTAACAGAGAACGTGAAGGTACCACGACAATATGCAGATCTCCGTGACGTCTTCAGCGAAAGGGAAGCTGACCAACTACCCCCGCATAGACCCTTTGACTGTCAAATCAACTTACTCCCTGGAGCACAGCTCCCTGTAGGCAAGCTGTACGCCATGTCAGACAGAGAGATGCAGGAGTTAAGAGAGTTCATTGACAAGAACCTGAAGAGAGGGTTCATCAGAGAGTCCAGGGCGGTGGGGGCAGCCCAGTGTTTTTGTGGATAAGAAAAACACGAACAAGCCGAGGCTGGTGTGTGACTTCAGGGCCTTAAATGCAGTGTCAGAACCAGTAGCCTTCCCTATGCCCAGGATTGACGACATTTTGACAAGGGTGCGGAAGGGAAAGATTTTCACAAAGCTGGACCTAAGGGGGGCGTACAACCTGGTACGAATAAGGAAGGGGGATGAATGGAAAACCACTATGTTCACCCCTTTAGGGGCATTTGAATATTTGGTTATGCCCTTCGGCCTACAAGCAGGCTCCGCAACATTTCAATCGTTTATGAACCACGTCCTGGGGCCTTTGCTTTACAAGAATTGTGTGGCCTTTTAGACGACGTGTTGGTGTATTCTGAGAATGAGGAGCAGCATGTGAGAGACGTCAGAGAAGTGTTGAGCAGGCTGCAAGCCAACCAGCTGTGGGTGAAACTGGAGAAGTGTCAGTTTCATACCAAGGAGGTGGAATTCCTGGGGTATCGCCTGTCAGACAAGGGATTGGCCATGGATCCCGGCAAGGTCCAGGCGGTGCTGGAATGGAAAACACCCAAAACAAAGAAGGATGTGCAGAGGTTCCTAGGATTTGGGAACTTCTATCGTAAGTTCATCCGAAACTTTGCCCACCTGACGGCGCCCATTACGGACTGTCTCAGCAGTAAGAAGAAGTTCGTGTGGACTGAGGAGGCGGAGCGAGCATTTGAGCAACTAAAAGGGCCTTCGCCTCGGAACAACAACTCCTGCATGTGGATTTACAAAAACCGATGAGAGTGGAAACTGACGCATCAGACAGAGCGATTGGGGCGGTGCTTCTGCAGCCAGGCAAGAAGGGGTCAGAGTGGAGACCGTGTGCCTTTTTTTCGCGAAAGCTGAACAAATCCGAGAGGAACTACACGGTGTATGACCGAGAACTACTAGCCATTCATGAGGCGTTCCGGAGATGGAGGCACCTGCTAATTGGCGCACAACATAAGGTGCAAGTGTGCACTGACCACAAGAACCTAGAGTATTGGAGGACGGCACGAGTGCTCAACCAACGGCAAGTGAGATGGGCCCAGGAGTTCTCCAAATTTAACTTTGAGATTAGTTACGTGCCAGGCCCAGAGAACATTAGGGCGGACGCTCTCTCACGCAAACCTGAAGATTTGGAGGGGGAGGGGGCCCCCGAAGAGAGACATGTCATTCCAGAGGACCGCTGGGTGGGTGGGGCGGCATTGGGGGGCCAAGGAGAACTGGGAGAGGAAACCGAGAAGGATGAATACGCCCAGAATAAGCTCAGAGGTCTTAGGGGTGATGGAGAGGAACCAGGGGTTTCGAGGAAAGAAATGGAGCTTTGTATTACAAAGGGGCACTGTATATCCCTGAAGGAGAGTTAAGGGGAGGGTACTCAAGCAGTTGCACGACAGCCCTACGGCGGGGCATTTTGGACAACACAAACCATGTGGTTGGTCACCAGGGAATTTTGGTGGCCTAAGGTGAGGGAAGATGTACGTGAGTATGTAAGAGGGTGCGAGCAATGCCAGCGAGCCAAAGGGGAAAGGCGGGCGCCGGCGGGGCTATTAGAACCCTTACCAACCCCAGAACGACCTTGGGAGGCAGTGTCGATAGATTTTATGACTGATCTGCCGAAGTCCAAAGGGAAAACAGCCATCATGGTGGTGGTAGACCTACTAACAAAGATGTGCCACTTTGTAGCTTGCTCGCATGCAGTCACGGCGGAAGAGACAGCGAAGTTATTTGTAGAAAACATTTTTAGGTTGCACGGGGTGCCATTGAGGGTGGTCTCAGACCGAGGAAAACAATTTACTTCCAGGTTCTGGAGGAAGCTCATGAGCTTACTGCAGGTGGAGGTCAATTTTTCGACTGCCCGGCACCCTGAAACCAACGGGCAGGCGGAAAGAGCAAACGGTGTCCTCCAGCAATACCTGAGGTGTTATGTCAATGACAGAGAGAATGACTGGGTAGAAAAGTTGGCGCTGGCGGAATTTGCCTACAACAATGCCGAGAATGTGTCCACAGGGATGAGCCCTTCTTGGCTAATTATGGGTGTCATCCCAGGGCTTTCCCAGGGGGAGATGGGGAGAGATGGAGCGTCCCGGCAGCCGAGCATTTTGTGGAAGAAATGGAAGCAATCCATCGTCAGCTCCAACTCAACTTAGAAAGGGCGAAGGAAGAATACAAGAGGCAGGCAGACAAGAACCGAAGGGAAGGTGAAACCATAAGGGTGGGAGATAGGGTGTGGCTGTCAACCCAAGGGCTGCTGCTCAAAGGAGGTTGTAAGAAATTAAGACCCAGGAGGTTGGGTCCCTTTGAGGTCATTCAACAGGTCAACCCAGTGGCTTTCAGGCTCCGGTTACCCAACCACATGAAACTGCACCCAGTATTTCACAGGTCGTTACTGTCACCGTACGAAGGGGGACGAGAAGGGCTGGCCACTCGGGACCGGGTCGTAGAAGAAAGAGAATGCAGCAGCCATGTGGCAGAAATCCTCGACGCCAGGTGGAAGGGGGATCAGGTGGAGTATTTGGTAGCGTGGGAAGGAGAACCGGAGTCAGAAAACACTTGGGTAATGGCTGAAGATATCAATGACGAGGTATTGATAGAAACGTTCCATCAAAGGTTCCCAAGGAAACCTCAGCCTGTGGAGAGGTTCCGGAGGGAATACTTTGGGACCACTGATGAAGGGGAGGAGTTGGAAGGATTCCCGGACTCGGAAGGGGAAGGGGAGATGGACTCTGAGGAGGAGGTGTACTTCGAGACCAGGAACCGCAACAGGTTGAGAGAAGTGTTCGAGACATCGGAAGATGAAGGAAGTTCATTCCGGGTTTTGCCTCCTCACCGCCCGTAGAGGAGGGGGCGAGAGGGGGTGAAGGGGGCCCTGGAGGGGAGGTGGATGTCAGGGAACTGCCATCGGACGGAAGGGAGGTGAAAGGGCTCACACAGGTTGGGAGAGACGCAGCAGCTGAAGAGGGAACCAGCAGGGAGGTGAAAGGGCTCACACAGGTTGGGAGAGACGCAGCAGCTGAAGAGGGAACCAGCAGGGGGAGAGGAGCTGAGCTGGAGGGATGGCTCAGAGACACTTCCAGCGAAAACAGTGGGGAGGTTTCAGGACCTCCTGTAAGAACACCCACTCCTCGCCGGAAACTGTCACGCAGAGATTCCAGAAGACGTGTTTCCGTTAAGGAGCTTTTATGTTGGAAGCGATTACGAAAGCAACCACTGTCGGAATCTGCTAGTGACTAGAGTAGCCATGTCTGAGGGGCTCCGTCACAGACAGAGGTTTGTGGACTTGAACAAACTCTGAGGGGATACGATTTT